GAAACAGATACACGTAAGAATACAAAACAGCAGGGAAAACGCGAAAGAAATCTGAAAGTGGAATTCCATAGATGCTTGCCTTCGTGCTGAAGGTGCTCCTTTTCTTTTCCCATTGTAGCCACATAGTAACGTGTTTCAAGTTACAAGATCATCTTTTTTATTTCACTGCGAAATGCAATAGAAATTTATTAACAATTCTTTTCACGTGAGAGACAAATTTATTACAGGCTTGGTTAAAAAAAAATAGTAATTGTTTCATGGAAATGGGATTTATTATTAATTCGTGTACATACATATCAAAGAGTAGATGAAGATAATCGAAGCGGTTCATAGTTAATGCGACGCGAACAACGCAGCTCAATCTCATTTAAGATTCTATTATCGCGTGTAAAATATCCACGCTTTGAAATACTTTAAACTTTTATTTCCGCGGAGTGTAATTCCCATCCATGGGGAACCGGTATCTGACTCGGCCCCGGTCCCGGAAAACTCGTCTCATTATCTTAATATTACTACGAAATGAACAAAGGAGTTGCCGAGAGAAGTAACGTCAGAAAGTGTACAATAAGAGAGTGCAGAGGAAAAAAAATAATAAGAAACGAAAGATAAAAAAAAATAGTGGATAGTGTAATCCAGTAACAACGAAGAAACTCGGGGCTCCTTTTCCTTTTGTTTCAGTCTCGAAGATACCCCGGCTACGGGTTTGCGTTACGGTTGACAAAAATAAACTCGTCGGACTCTCCGTTTCTAAATCCTGAGCTATCCCTTTGCATGCCTCAAGCCTCATTATTTTTTTTCCCTTCATTTCGTCAGTCAAAAATATCGATCATCAAAATCCTGACTTTCACCGCCGTAATTTATATTCCAAAGGCGGTTCTAATATTTTCTATTAATTTCGAATTTCACGAGGAGATGAGGCCGGATTTAATTAACTCGCTACTTCGGCGTGCATTAACGAATTTAGAGAGCACTTAATCGCTATTAAATTTCCTGTCACGTCTTGTTCGGCCTAAACGTGTATGTGTCGATAATATCGGTTATACCGATCTCGGATACTTCAGTATCAGCCACTGATATTGGACTATTATAAGTAATAGCCCTGTCAATTGTCGATATCCTACGTTGTAGCGTTAATTACAATGCCTGGCTAACTATAAAATATTAAATTACAACACCATTCGCACCGCGACATTTTCTAAATGAACATTTACACATTACACAATATTTTGCTATCTTCTTAAAATGACGTGACATGGGGGCAATTATAATTTTAATTAATAATTCCTTCCACGTGACCGAGTAATATTTTCGCAGCAAAATTAAAAATTAAAAATTGTACTTGAGCTCGGTCTCGTTTTCTTGCTCGATGTCCTAAATTAATTTCACCCGTTCGCCAATTAGTAGGTCACCGCTGTTAACTTTTATTATGCATGACGCGCATCCTCCCAGATCCCATTTTGACGTAGGTACCGATCGTTCAATCGTGCCGCGTCAAAGGGCCAATATAGGGTCGTTAATGTGGCATTCGTGGTGAACGCTGAAATCCAGCTCGAGATTTCAGGTTAAAACTGTTCCATCACGTAGCAAGTGCGAGCGAGATCAAATAAAATCGTGGAACGATATTTCTGAGAAAAATTGTATTCGCGAAATTTGAACTTTGTTAATTAACTCGATGATGAATAAAACAAAGGAACGTATAAAACAAATTCAATTAAATACCGAATGACGCGTACAAAGAATTTTTGCTATAAACAAAGGTAGAATATATTCTACCTTTATTTATATATAAAAGGTACGTTTGTGCCGGCGGCTCCGCTGAAAAATCGCGGGCATATTTTTTTCACCTGCGAAAAAAGAACGGAGGCACGAAGGTTAAAGGGTAGGCAGTTCGAACAGAAAAGAATTCGCCGGTGGTTACAGTTGGCCCCATAATTGCACCGTCATTTTTCGATACGCGTGCTAACCGGTTCAACACACATTCATATTCTTCTCCCATGACGGGTGCATCTGTTCGCAATTTCCAATTTAACGTTAAGGTAGAATGAATATTTTCAAAGCATCGACAGGCTATTAACAGTACGTATTTTTTTGATGAATTTAATCAATGGCTGCCATTTAATTAAACGTTCCCGGCTTACGATTTTACTTAAACGAAAAATTCGTTTAAAGCAAGTTTCAATACAACGTAAAAATAATTTTATCTCAGATAGAAGTTTTTAATCTGTCGTTCCACGCAACGTAAACGTCCTCTGCGAAACCTGTTCACATTTTATTTTATCCTGTTCGTATTTACAGTACAACAGCCGGTATTTTCGCTCATCGTAGGGTGGGGGGGTGTCAGAGCACGAAATTATTATTACAGAAAAATTGTCAAATTTCAACTGCGTTTCGGTCAGTTCGTAAAAGTCGTGTCCCCTTTTATTGGAATTTTTTCAACCGCGATCGATAACGGCGGGAGAAGGGAGGTTTCCTTTATCGGTAACATTTTCGCCTGAATTTATCAAGTAATAGCCGAATAAAGTTCGGATCTTTCGGTAAACCCTGCATTTCGAATTATGCGCTTCAGTAATCGTCAATCGATTCGCTATTCGTGTCCAATCGGTGCGCGGCCAAAACTGTCCCCCAGCTGCCACGTTTTGGACCGGTGAATAATATTCAGACGTCCCCGGGGTCATGAATGCACGATCGCTCCCCAGTATCTGACTATGCAACCCTTCTTTTCCACAGATATTTTACCCAAAAAATTTATTTGTCTAATAATGAGAGCAATTATTCTTAAGGTTGTATGAACCCTTACATAAAAACAATGCAAAGAATTCAACTGACATTCCAATAAAATTGTTAGACATTTAAACGTATTAAATCGGGAGAAGATAAGCGTAATTAAGAAATAGAGGACAATTATTATTATATTATTATTATATTACATATTATATTATGTATTAGTATTATACAAATATTATTATTATATTAACCTTTAAAAATCGAAAATCGGTTTGCTTTTTAATGAATGCAATTCGAATATCATTATTGCCTATTATGCATACAATTTCCAGCATACTGATGAACGCTCGAACATTAATAACGTCGTTATTTTTCCACTCGGTGTTATGTAAATTCTACAGTAATTTAGCAGAATACTAAATTGCTGTTCTGTCAGTATTCGAAGATATCCGGAGAGTCCATTAGCTTGAAATTTACTCTGTTCGGTGGTGAAAAGTCTCCCAAGATGTTCCCGGTTCGCATTAATGCACGAAGAACAGAAAATTGGTCGGAGTAGCGAACAACAAGACCGCACGAGTACGTACCAAAGGGAAGCAATCAAAGTAATTGGCAATTTGCTGTGAGAAGTCGATGCCTTTCGCGTTTCATGGTCAACGTCTTTCACCTCTCTCCCCCTCATCGTTTTCTCCCTTTCAACCGCAGAAGTCGTGTATTTAAACGGCAACTAACGGACCGTTTATTGACCGAAACACTTTTCGTTCGACTCGATCGTTGCACAAATTCGATTATCGTCCTCTCCGGCTGTTGATTATCAGTAGTTTTCTTTCGGAGTTCGTCTCGTTCGATGAATGTCGGTCAATACCACCGACCGAACGTTTACGGACAACATTTTTCATACGGGGGAAACATTTTTCCTAAACAAGTAATTCCCTCTCGTACGAACGTCAATCGGACATTAATTTGGAGTCGATCTTAACAACAGGTAATTTTCACTGTTTAATGTTTCGTGGAAACAAGCTTTTACCGTCTTGTAAAACGCTAAAGGGCAAGTTGTACTGTAACCATGGAGATCAATAAGAGTACAAATAGAACTGGGTGAACCTGAAATATACTTTTATTTCCGCCATAAGGTGCGCGGCTCTCGGAACGACATAAAATGTGCAGTATCTATTAGTGTTAAAGATGCAAGAGGATCGACCGAGCGCGTTGCTTCGCTGAAAAATATTTGCGAACAATCGATATCGTGGGCGAAGCCATTCCTCTCATCAATTTTTATGAGTTCAATGGAATACTCAAAATGTTTATAAACATCTGTAGAAATGTTCATAATTTAAATACATATCTGTGGGAAATTAAATGTTAAAAACGATTGGAAATTAAGAATTACAAGCTACGAGCACATTTTAAAAGTCGCGGACAGAATGCATTTAAAGCACCGGATTTGAAACGCGGGGAAGGATTGAATATCGCGCAAGCCTTAAATTTGACTCGCAGCTACAGCGTGCCGATTCGATCACCATTCAAATGTCATTCGCTACACCGGAACGTGACTAGAGATGCGAACACTTTTCCGAGGGAATTCTAAACAGAGATTGAACCGTGTCCAATCGTTGATAAAAATTAATATACATCTATCTTGAACAGCGTCATTTGTACCTTTCAAATATTATTTACTGCCAATTCAGTTTCGTTACAAAACTTTTATCGATATTTCCGTACAAAAATTGTCCTCGGTACGAGTGATTCCGGAGATAGAAATGAAACGTTTGTTTTGTATTCCCGACTCTCTAATGTTTTCTATTGTTACGAACGGATTCGTTTGAAGTTTACCGTCGACCGTTGTATGCATGTACTACATGGGGGTAATTTTTGATCATGTACTGTTGGTATACGTTTGCGTACATATGCGTACTTGCATATGCACACCGAAACGTTTGTCGGCCGGTCATTCCACGGTTTTCAGTAGCCGCGAAACATGATCGCGCATTCTTCTCTTTGTTCGTATCATTGGCTCGTGTTTTTTGATAGCATGAAAAACATTTCGTTCCCTTCGTGCCGAGGTTTATTTTGCCCCGTACGACAAAATGCACACACGGATTGATTGCACTGAATTTTATACCCCAGGCCTCCCCGATACGCGTGTCAAATCGAACGGACGCACTTGATGAGACCGGCAAGCAAACAAATTCAGTGAAATCAAAGTCGCGTGTACGACGAAAGACGTCGTCGTTCCGTCGAAAATTTTGCTAACCGTTTGCCACGTTTTTTTGTTTCAGGGACTACTACTACGACAGGTGAGTACGAATTCGATGATAAAGGATCGGTTGCGGTGGAACCTTAGGAACAGCTTTGAAACAAAAAAACTGTTAACGATTAAATTTTGAAATATTTCACTGTAACCTCTGACCTACTGATTATACGAGTCTGCAAAAGTTTCGTGTAGTTTCCCTCTGGTCTCGGTGAGAGCGCGGAGTTCCGAAAAGCGGGGACATAATTTGGCGTCGATGCCGGAATTATAACCATCAGACCGTAAATCACAATTATTATCTCGGTCCGTTTCACGGGAACGCTTTACTTCTGGTGTCGCGCGCGGAGACAGGCCATTGCTGGAATATCACCGGCGAATATTGAAGGTTATTAATTTATACATTTTTGCGTGCCCGGTGTGTTCGCGGCGATGCGTGAACATGTTTATATTGTCATCCGGCGTCGATTAAAAAAGCTGGAACAATCACCGTCCCTCAATAATCGCGAAAAATGTTCGTTTGCAATTCGTTCATTAATCGTAGCAGCTGTAATAAATTATTATTGACAATTGTTAATTGACACTGACGCGCCAATTGACAATTTCAGTACGAAACGGAATGTGAATAATCGTTCGCCGTACGAAACTCGTTCACGAATTGATTCAGCTCGTTTGACACGAAAAACTTGGAGAAATTAGTGTGCTTACCGAAGTAGAGCTCTTGAGTACATCAGTAATTAGTGTAAAAGGTACACAAATGCCCTCGCAAGTCACGGCAACCGTTAAAATTGAAATATTGACGCGCGTCGGTTTAATTTAACACTCGTACTACTGACGCAGCGGCGAGTACCGGGAGTTCGTCGTTAAAGAGTCTAACCGTAACCGTTGGAAAAGGAAATCGCGTTTGAACGAAGATTTAACTCTCTCAGACGTTCCGCGTCGTCAAAGGAACTTTTCAACCAGTGTCCATTTAAAAACCTTACGCTGCTACGGTCCGCCAGTGAAATTTTTAAATGCGGTGAGCACCACGCGTTCTAATACCAAAATACTGCAACTTCTTTCCCTTAAGACGTATGTGCTCTCCTCTCTCGGCGAGCAAAGGATATTTTCCTTGATCCGCTCAACGCTCGACCCAGTGTGTCGTCCACCGAGTAAAAATGCGACTCCGCCAAATAAAACATTAGAAACATCGTGACGCTTATGGCATCCTATAAAAAGATGCTCCAGTAAAACGTGCCTTGCTTAATTATTCCAGAGCATCCTAATAAAACATTTTAGTGTCGTGTATTTTAGACTGTTCGTAGTGACATTTATCAAGTGTGAATAAAAATGCTCGCAGATTTTTCTCACGCTTTCATTGGACGACAGGAACGTCACGATTCTTTACATGCCACAGGAATCTGTTTTTCCTTGAATGGAAGCAAACGAAGCGTGGCTAGTTAATTGGCAAGCGACAACAAGACACGTTAGCGCTCAATTACTCGGCTGGGGCACGCGATCTCTCCTTTTATTTTTAACCCTGCAGGGTCATTCCTCGAATTAATTCCTGGGCAAGGTCGGTCAAGAAGCGGACAAGGACCGGGCTGATTGAATGGAGAGAAGTTGAAAAAGGCGATGCACGCGCGATTATCAAAGCTCGGCGCACGCGAATGTAATTATGCTCACGTGACCGTGGATAATAATTATTAAGCTCCAGCGTATCGCGAAGTCGTTTCAGTTACACCGGGAAGCCGACGTTTTTCTCCTATTTGTTCACACCCTCGCGTCGCGCGTATAATTTAGGATCCGCTTGTGACGCGTCGCGCACCCGGCGAGTTAAGAGCGAACGCGAAAGACCCGGGGCCATTCGAGAGTATTTATCGCGCGATAAATCCGCTCCGACTGCTGCCGTTGCTACTGTATCGATTTTATCGTTAGATACTCCGACAAAGGATTTCTCCACGAATTATGATGTTTGCGGATTAATTCTTTCTTTGTCCAAGTTATCTTCTGTCCCCCTAAGCCCTAAGGTAAGTGCGCGTTATTACGCGTTGTATTTATATGATACACAAAATGCATGTGAGATCTAAGGAGGGAAGAGGAACAGATATTGATGTGTTTAAAAAGTGAATAAAGTTTCGTTTCTTAAATTGATGTTACACGTACGTATTGGTTTCCATGAAAATTAATAGTTTCACGGATTTACAGAAGTCATTGATTAATTAGACGAGCTTTAACTGAAAAATTCTTTACTGCATTCGTGCGGACGGATGAATAATTTTTCGCCGGCGGCGCGCAATTTTCGCCCGATAACGCGATCCATCGCGACGTGGAAAGGAGAATAAAAATGAAATAACAGAGCGAGGTACGCGACGAACGGTTGGAAATCGGTAGCCCCCCCGGTCCTTTTGCTTTAATTGTTGCGATTCAGAGACGGTTCGTGACCGGCCTGAGGATAACTGCAGCGTGGAATGGCAGCGCGGCGAATAAAAGTCATAAGCTCGAGCCCTGGCGGCCGCATGGAACGGAATTATATCCGCGGCGCGAACCAGGGGTGAAACATGCACGGTCCACGGCCGGCCTTTTCTTCCCCGGCCCCGAGCACGACGATAAACCCGCGTCGCGACGTTGCTTTTCGTTGCTTTATTAATTCTTCTGGCGCCCACCGTGACCCACCCCACCATCGCAGCATTCCGTTTCTTTTTGGGTGCTGTTTTCCGACGGACTTTATATTCCATCCTTGCCGCCCTGCTTTTAAAATATGCAACACGCGGCCCATAGAAAACACGCGTCGCGTGTTGTTACGCGCGCACACCGGGCGACACGCGTGCTCCGGCCAGACCTCTCCGGCTCGTACATTGTTCGTCGGCTAAAAAGGAATTGATTGCTTTTGATATTTTTTCTTCCGTCCGCTCACTTTTTTTTCCCTTCCTCGTTTGATTTTCGTTGTTACGTTTCGCGTTTCGTTTCTCCCGCTGCCTTTTTTCGATTTCACTTTTGCCACGCGCCTGTTTTTTTTTTCCACGCCGCGTGTAGGTATTCGCGGGGCCAATTTCCGGGGGCCAATTTTTTTCGAACGCAGTCCCGGGTTTTGTGCACGGGACTCTGGATATTCTGGATCTAAATGACGGCTGGTAAACAGGTCGCCCGGAATCGAAACGCTGGGAACGCCGCGGATGTGGCAGGAAATTCGCGTTCGATTAACTTTCTTGCTCGGTTCGCTTCTGCTTTCGATACGTGAGTTACCGTTTGCATTTACTAAATTCCCGAGTCTTCAGTAGTTTAAGCACTAACTTCGACCGGTACGTATATCAATCGTGAAAACAATTTGTTCTTGTATCGTGTCACATTTATTCGTAGCTTCGTGACGCGAATCTACTTGAAGTTTAAATAGCGATGCATAGAAGTTTCATGTTGTCACTTTTGATTAAAAGTTACGCTTTTCCGACTTCATTTGAAACTGCCGTATTTTACAGAAATACAAATTATATTCTCTCCATAAATTTCGTTGCTTTTTGATATTCGTTAAATGGTCCATTCGCGTATATCGACGCGTTCAAAAGTATCGATTTCCAGTTGAAAAACACTTTTGGCCGATGATCTCTCCCTTTGAAAGCTGTCGCTAATCGGAGTATTAAAAGCGTCATTAAAAACGGGCCATGAATTTCTATCGATTTACTGATTATGTGACACTGTCCAACGCCTCGTGTATGTACGTATCAATTTTGTGCATTCGCTGATCGATTACGAGCGTGCATAAAATCGAGTGAAAAAGATGGGCTGACGTTCGAAATTTCATTTAAAGAAAGACTTAACGCCAATAGAATTCCTCTTTGATGCAACGAATTCCAATATCTAAAATATTTTCATTTGGCAGTCGCGTATGCCCGGTTTCAGTTGAAAATATCGCCGGTTGTTCAGTACCGTAATGGGAATCGAGAGTTACGTCCTTGTTTAACGATTCGCCCGGGCAAAAACTATTATACCAAGAAATTATGTGCCGAGAATGGATCTGAATATCCGAATAGGAAATTATCCCCGGTCGGTCGGTCGGTGCGTTTCGCCTTTGTCCTTTTTCTTCGCCCGAGTTTTTCTGGTTATATTCCATTCCAGCCGGAAGATAAAGCGTTGTTTATGGTTTCTGGAATTCCTCGCCTTTCCACCGTTCACAGGGATTCTTTATCTTAAAGAAGGTTGTTATCGTGCTTCGACCAGATTGGATTTACGTGAAAGCGAGCTCCACTGATCATTAGGGCCAGCGGAAAGGAAAATATTTTTCTATAAAATGCACTCCTTTTATATCTCGTTCTCCGTCTTTTAATATTAATAAATAGACCTGCCAGACTCTCCCCAAAAGAATCCATAAAAATTTCGACTAATGCACGGCTTCTTTATCAGTCCTATTTCAATTTAGTATGTAATTTTAAACCGAAGCTTCCTTCGAATATTAGATACTTCGTTTAAAAGATGGGAGCAGGTTTTAACAGCCTTCTTTGAAGGCTGAATCGATAAGCGGGTAAGGAGAACACCGGTATCGTTCTTGCATCGATTAAATCTGACATCTCGCTGTCAGGTGACACTTAATTTGACGTAGGTTAGATAGACATCTGAAATCCGTGCACTTAATGTATGTCGATGGGGATCAAGCTTATAGGCCGGGGCTGATGTTAGGGGTCGCGATGCATCGTGTCCAGTTAAGCCTCCTAGTCACAAAGCGATGTCTTGAGGGACGAATGTCCCTAATTAACCTGACACCCCCACATGTCTACGCGCGCGCGAGCGAGCGCATCGGTCCCTCGTCCCGGCCACTCGTTACACACCGTTATACATACCCGTAGCCCAATTCAATTTGTAATTAATCTTACCAGCCTCGGAGATAGAGAAAATTCACAGGAGAGCCATTTACTTAATTGAACGCCGGTTAATGCGCGATAGAGATCTTAGACGCACGACCCGGCCGCGACCGTTTCCTGTTTCATAGTCTGATTTAGCTCCTCATTTTCCACCCGCCCTTTAACCAAACCCTCCCGACGAATAATTACCGAAACCCATTTAATTATTGCGACAGCA